CCACCCCAAACAAAATATTAAGCCACATCATCCTTGTGAGAGAGTAAACAATGCTCTGCATTCGAAATTGCGACCGGAACAGGCTGGCTGGCTGGCTGGCTGGCTTCAGGAAGAACAATTCATGTGCGGACCGAATTGCAACGCTATGCTGCACATCTTCATAGAACAACTTCATCGACTTTTAAAAGGCTTTCGACAGCGTCGACCGAGAAGTAATTTGACAGTTGCTACAACACTATGGAGTGCCACAAATATTTATCAACCTCATTCAACAACTATATGAAGACGCCATATGCCAAGTGGCTCACAATGGAAAACTCAGTGACGCCTTTGAAGTGAAGACAGGAGTAAGACAAGGCTGCTGCCTACCAACACCGATGATCTTTTTGATTGTGGTCGACTGAACTGGACTTGATCATGCAAGAGACTGTGAGGAGTGAGAAGATGGTCATATGCTGGCTGGACTGATGAAAATAGCCCAGAAGATTTGGATTTCGCCGATGATGATTTGTGTCTAATGTTGCACAAACTCAAAGATCTACAGGCAATAAACAATTAGTTGACAGAAGAGGCAGCGAAGGAAAACGGGGCTTCAAGTGAACGTAGAGAAAACAGAGATGCTGAAGATACCCAACCAACAACAGCAAGCACCAATAACTATCGTCAGGAGAAACCTAAAGGAAGTTGTCTCTTCCACCTACCTAGGCAGCATCGTTCCAACTATAGGCGGCACAGATGAGGACGTCAAAGCCAGGCAGGATCGGAAAGACAGGCCTTCATTAATCCGTAATCAGTGTGGAGATCTACTGCACTGCACCGTAGTCAACATAAAGTGTGAACGAGATCCGGATTTTGAACACTAAGTCAGTCAAGTCAGTGCTTCTATGTGATGACTGACAGACTTGGCGCGTTAAGAAAAGCATTTCCAACAAACTACAGACATTCATCAACAACTGCCTACGCTGGCTCGTTACTGAAGATCAGATGGCCAGAAAGAATAAGCAACAAGGAACTCTGGTTGGCAACGAACCAACCAAGAACCCATCGCCCAACAAATGTACGGAAGGAAGTGGAAATGGATTGGGCGTACACTGAGACGACTGTTTGGAGACATCACGCACCAGAGCGGGTCCTAGAGTGGAATCCGAAGGGGAAACGACGAGTTGGGTGTCATAGGTGAGGGTGACATGGAGGAGGTTGTGTGATGAAGAAATGAAAGGTTATGGGGAGTCGTGGAGCCAGCTTGAAAAGACTGCAGAGAAGAGAGTGCAATGGAGAGTTGCTACTGAAGCGCTATGTTCTATTAGGAACCCAAGAGACAGGTAATAAGAATAAGAATAGAAATCAGCTTCGAATGTTATCCAGTTACCTAGAAGGAAGGAAGTGGAGTGAAACATGGCGACCGATGCTTGGAAGTCGAGTTCAGAGATAATACTCGTGATCAGAAAAGTTTTTAATCTCAAACGTTCAGCTTTTCGGTACAATCTGCAAGAACCACATATTGGGAAGAGCTCATAGACTAATGAAATGCTGTCCTAAAAGACACGAGCAGTGATGACAAGAACACAAAAAACTGCTGATGTCGATATATAATATATATATATATATATATATATATATATATATATATAGTATAAGCTATAATAGTCATTGGGATAAAAATACACGAAAGAGAATACGTCAGATTACATGAGTTCCTGAGCAAGAGCAAAACGTCAATGGAAATGTAGTACAAGGGAGCTTATTTTAGCATAAAAATTACAGGAAAGTTACTGTGACAAAGTATTTGTTAAATGCCAAACTTAGTTTGCGAGAGATAACGATATGACCTAGATGTAAGCCAGATGAAGTTGTTGCGTGAAATAACATCCGAAATCCTCTGATTGTTAGTTAGATCTCGAAAGAGTCATACACATGTGACTCTGAAGAAGTTGGTATCAGTAAGCATCGTATCAGCGTCACAGTTTACAACAAGAGAGACAAATATCATGAGAAAAAGATAAAAGAATGGAAAAGATGAGTATGAGAGAAGACAGAATAGATGAATAAACACCATTAATTCGTTCAAGATTTGTAGAAAAATGCGTTCATTCCAGTGCGATAGACTTTGAACCATATCATCTAGATCAAAAAGTGAACTCTACAGAAATACGGAATTCAACTACGGCTGACGACGGCTTTCGGCAATTCAGTACTTTCTTTTATTCACAACATTGACAGATTAATGAGCCATTAGTTTTTCTTATAGCATATGAAAGTGTGGAACTGATGCTTTGAATGTGTCACTCATCTCTTTATAAGAGCAAATATAGAAAGCGGTGTGTACACAACCAGCACTCGAGTATGATGTAAACCAAACTAGAGAGAAATATAGCGAAGATTCAACTAGAAATCGAAATAAAACTAAAACAGAAGAAGGAAAAAGTACACTAACTAGATCAACTGAAACTGGACAGATATTGAGTAAATGTTTAACGAATAAATGGTAAGGAATAACAAATATTCAACGTCATGTAATATCGCATGAATTAAAAGCGGCGATACAAGAGAGAGAGAGAGAGGGAGAGAGAGAAAGTTCAAACTAAAGACAATAAAACAAGTTATTAAAACTGCAAATTTTCATAAACAGATATAGCTTTATTGCGTAACAAGTATGCCGAGTAACCTATCCTGATGGTAAACTTTATTTGGAGTAGCCTTAGGCTGGAAGAAAGGTAAGCATGGCATGGCACTTAGAGAAGTAATTCACTGATGGCTAGGGGTATAGCTTTCGCACTGTGATTTCCTAGATGCCAGTAGTCAATGGCTAAACAGACAAGATAACATGAAACAGTTAATCCTAGGGAAATGTTTGCATTTCTTTTCTTTTGAATATCGTATTGTTTCATACCTAATTTCTATTTCTGTTTATGTTCTTCTTATTTATAACTCCTATCTATTTTCATTGACTGAGCTTCTTGTAACTTCTGTCGCCACTTTCCCTCATAACTTTGCAGTGACTTTATATAGCCTGAGTTATATATGTGTGCAGACTACTCTATATGAGAAGGCTTGTAGAAATAATTTTAAAATTCCACCCATAATGGCTGCTCAGTTCCTCTGTGATGGGAGAGGCGGTAATATAACAGGTGTATTTACAGCGTCAACGTCCACAATATATACAAATTACAAGGTTTATATATAGAACAATGGTCTAGGCTATTTTCAGACCTACAGGATTTAAATCCTGTTGGTTTTTCATCTCTTCAATCAAAATGATACACACTGGTTCATATGTTTTTTCAGGAAGTTTTGAAGCAAAGCGATTGCTTGAATAAGGGTTTAGACATATGCGGCTTCTTATGAGGATTTTGTCTATCTTTCTGCATACCATAACAGAGTTTTTGTGATGAGAAGTGAAGATACGTAAATTGATATACTATTGTGAAGTGCAACGGTGTTATGTCTATTTATCTACCTTTACTACTCATTCCGAATAGCAGTCTATCAAAAAGGATATGATCTAATGGTACAAATAAGGAAACGAAACCTACTAGGCTATCTGGCACTCACTTTGGAGATTTGCGGGGATTTCTGGCTGGTATTTATCATGGACTGACGTCAGCTGGAGAAGCATTAGAAACCTAGGAGCACTGGATCCCTGGTAGGTCATGGGTACGCACTGTTGAGGAGTCCCATACTAGGACGAAACAGTCGTCCAGTGCTCCCAGGTTCCCAATGTTTCTCCAGCTGTTGTCAGTCCATGATGTATACGTACTTGATATCTTACATTTAACGCATGAAGTGCCTTAAAGGATCACAACACTTAGTTGAATACTCAAAGTATTCGGTAGTTGATTTATCAATAATGAAGACAGAATTGTGCGATTACTATAAATCAGATGACTGATTCATGAAAATAGTTCATTTATACAAGAGTAGCTGTGGCTAAAAATAGGTTCCAGTTAAGCCCAGAAAAATGCATAATCGAAAAAGCGAGCTCATTGATCTTAAACGATACCAAAACGTTGTTCCTAAAAATGACAGCCGCGAGATTACAGCACTGAGTGATCTACACTTTTTTCCGCTAGGCAGTAACAGTTTAAATGATTTCAGATTATCATTATCAGCGAATGTGAAACCTGTGGGCAAAGAATCCCGGAAACAGCGTTCCAGAAATCAAGGCTAGTTATTACAGTATTGCTAAGATAGGGGTTTATTGTATGGGGCTTCATCAAGGATATTAAGGCACATGAAAAACGTAGTAAGAAGAGTAAATTAATCGGTAAGCGTACGTTTGTGCACTATGGTCAGAAGCATTTTTAAACCGCTTAGAAAAAATACATGAATAAGCCTAATAAGACTGAATTTATGAGAGAGAGAGAGAGGGAGGGAGAGAAGAGGGAGAGGGAGAGAGAGCATAAATAGTTGCCAATGTTTAACATCCAACTAGCAAAAATAGATAAAGAACTCACATTATCACACTTTCTCATAATCCCTTTCTCGTTTCTTTCATTTAAAAAAAATGTTGCTTAGTGTAGTGCAAGCATAAAAAGTGTCGCGCTCTGCGTACAGTTTAATTATCGGTCAATTGACTATAAAATTCATTAGGTCAATTATCACTTAGAAAAGAAAACAGGATTAAAACGTGTTTAACGCTGGAAACCTCTCAACAAATTTAAAGATGAATAAACTGCAGAAAGAGCTGGTGGTGCTTCACATGCATGATGAAAACCAAATAAATTCTTTGCGTAGAACACATTAAAGGGTTGAAATATTTCATGAATCATTGACTTAATCTAGAGAACTCGTAAAAGAAACAACAGATAGGATTTAACCATAGTTGGACAGTAACACGAGTGGACTGAGACGTGAAAGCGCGTGTAATACAATCTCAAATATGCCATGGGGTTCGCACAAACAAAGAGCCCAAAAAGAATACAAAACATATGTCCATAGGTCTTTTTTCATGAATAGCATACTCAGAAAAAGACAATAATATCCAAGAAAAACCTAAATACCTCCAAATCCCAATCGTATTCTTGAAGGTACATCATTGCTACAGCTCGATCGGTTTTAGTGACTTCAGCAAATGCAATACATTTCTCCAAATAAACATCTTTGCCATCTAAGTCTCCTGATTTTTCTATATTCATCGGAGTTATGTTACCAGAGTGTGAATTTTCGGCCATAACCTAAAATAGTAATACAATTAAGAACAAAAGATGATTTATCTACTGACAAGCTATGTTTAATTATATGCTTAATTTTAAGGACATATGGGTAACTGAAATCAAATATAAAATGAAAATTAGACTTCGACATTCAAAAAATGTAAATTGAGGGAAAACGTCTCAAATTTACGTGTTCGACATCGTCTCCATCCAATTTGTAAAAGCTTTACACTGAAGATTACTTTTTTAATTTAAAAAATCCGAATGAACAGTGCTGAATTGACAAATGCTATGAAGTGGTATTCACAAGCAATAATTACTAACGGAGTCAAATCAAGTAATTAACTTCTAATAAGTTAAGGGTAGTTTTGTACCTAAAACGAAAAGACTATAAGTTAAGCCCTTACTTCAGATGGGTACGAAGTAGAATCCAGTAAAAATGACTGAGTTACACACGCCAAAGCTACGCCACTTTGCCAGTAATAAACGTAAATGAAGAGTGCTAGCCTGTGCTCACCGCCATATTCCTGGGGTCTCGTCTCATACCGCTGCACATAGCTAAGTCTTAATGAAAGAGGAATGCACCCAGGTTCCCAAAGATTCTCCAACTGATGCAGAGCTGTGATAACTCTTTTTGATGAATGTATAAAACTAAAGGTAAACATCACTTCGCACTCAACGATCAGTTGTTCGTAATGAGTGCAGAATTGCTAAGCGAAATTCAAAGTGAAACGTTGGAATGTATGATTTACCAAAGCAGTACTAGTAGCTATAGAAATTTATCCATCGCTTTACTGATACAATAATATCTAATTCTTTATAAACAACGGATAATTTACAGAGAAACAGGATAACAAAAAACCTAAATAGCCCAATCTGAACTCTAACTCAGTGTCCCCTTAAGATTGAATATACAAACAAACTCTGCAGCACTATGCTGTGCACTACCATAAACGATGATGCTGAGAAATACAACAGTTGGAATGCTAAAATTCCAACCCAAGTTAACTAGCTCTAAAGCGCAAACTACGCAAGTGAACAAACAAAAACAAATCAAATTGCTGTAGCTTCCAACCAAGAAGAGCTCATATAATTCAATTCAGTAATGCCAAGTATATTCCGAAACGTTTTAAAAGTTGGCTACATATGTGTTGCCGTTTACAGTTTCTTCCCTGAATGACGCATACGAGTTGCTTATTACTGCTCTGAAAACGCATCACAATGAACCAGATATGAATGACTGACTGAGAAAGTCAATTTAAAACCTCGCACAAGAGTGCATAGAATCAAGTCGCCACACTTCACAGTAGTACACAAAAAACAGGTGGATAGAAAAGGAGTGCTATGAAAGTAGATAAAATGGTGTAAAAGAATAAGCAATCTTAAGATAAATATTAGTGCGAATATTCAAGCTTTAGAACACGTCAAGGAGTGAATACATACGCGCCATTGTGACCGATTTTCAGCCATCTCACCAACAGTTCTCAAACGCTGACTCTCTTCGTCTCGGAGACTCCAACCAGGCAGCCTACATCGCCCCACACGACTCAGATCAACAGTAGGAAACTTCATCGACTGGTGCCACATGTTAGTGCGGCCACTCTGAACCTTCCTCCAACTTTCCCTACGAGAGCAGGTCGAGGTAGGCGGTGGCTCAGCGTGCGCAGTACATGTCCAGGCCACCTCAGCCGATGAAGGCTCACGACCGCATCAATCCACTTGCTTAGTACTCATTGTCTGACCTCAACACACACCGTAATTCCACCAAATGCGAGTAGTGTTACAAGGACATCTGTGATTAAAACCCTATAACCGCTTCGTGTCTTCTACTTTTAACTCCCGTGTCTCACAACCGTACAAGAGGAAAGAACGAACTGCAGCGCAGCTTGCCTGTCCTTTGATATGTAATCAGATATCTCAACGGCGCCACAGATGACGCAAGCTGACAAGTACCAAAAAGCCTTTTGTATTCAACCTGAGATTTGGTCAGCAACCAGTCCGTCCAAGTTGATGCAACTTTCCAAGTTAGTGAAGTGGTCGACACATTTCACTCCCCATCAATAAACTGGGTACTTGCAGCAGACCAGTCCTGGAGCATCATCAGACATTTGACAGATAGGAGCGAAACGCATACCAAACATATTCAGATTTTTGCTCAACGCGCTCATAAGACCCAGTATTTTATCAGCGTTTTCACCTAGCAGGACAATATTGTCTGCATACCTCACGTCAACAAGATGACCTCCAAGGAGTAGGTCAATCCCCGTGAATTGACATGCAGAGAAGGTTGTGTCCATTAGTATGTCTATGACGAAGTTAATCATGAACGGCAATAGTGGGTATTCATGGTGGTTATCACTAGTTGTCGTCAAGTCACATGACAACCCTTCATAAGCAACAACGAAAATTTTTATTGAATATCAACTTTTTGAATGCTATAGCATAGTATACTGACTTTCATCACCAACGTGAATGACCTCAAGTTATAATTCTTGATATTACATACGAAAGGTAACAATCAGAGGTAGGGAAATTATATGATAGTAAAATAGCATATTTATTCTTTTCTCCAAAGAGTACTTTACCGCTGGGATTCATTTTCGCTATCCGCCTGATTTTTTTAAAAACTTAGTCTTTAAAGAAATGCTGTTCATATTTTTTAAGGAATTATCCATATTATTTAGGTGCCATAGTGTTGAAATTCAAAATGGGGAATTCTGTAGAATTATCCCAACTATCACAATTAATACGATATCAGTGAATACAAAAGTGATTTCCCAACGATAATCGGTACAGTTGACACACCTAATATGTTGTTCACGCATTAGTTATGCGAAATGAGAGAGAGAGAGAGAGAGAGAGAGAGTAACAATTCATAAATGGTTAGTAACCAGGAGAATGAGATGTTCTATTAGGCTCCACGTAGAGGACTTAGTAGCAATTACAAAATCGCAATAAATGATAACATTGGACAGACAGAAATGATCACCAACTGGTCACTGGAGGAGTCATCAATTCCATGTTGCCTAGATCATCAAAGTGATGACCGAATATTACATGACCACACTGCAAAATGACACACTGAATACGGTCAGCATTAAAGCTAGATATGAAGTAGGTTATTGACGCAAAGATGTTGAAAAGATTACTAAGAGACCTCATGAAGTTTTGTACACTAGACAATGAGCTACATTTGATATATAAGGGTTAATTACGCTGTGTAGCAGCTCAAACCTGGGCAGGTGGAGTGACGATCTAACTTGTGACCCGCTAGCTGACATTCAACAGCCTAGATCGATGAGTAGCAACTTAACTTACATAGAATACAAAAGTAGAGTCCAACTCAACTTTTGCTCCGCTTTCTCCTGTAATGATTGGGAGTTAGCTAGGATGTCTTGTATGGATTACCTCAAATAAAACTGTCGGCATCCAGCTACTTCAGTAACCTCTGAATACATATTAGTCTAAACTGCTGCTTCATAAGGACATCTTAAATTATGTTGAGTACTAGCTTCACGCACACTCAGCTTTCCTATATTTCAAGTCCACTTTTTCAAATCAGAGGTTACTACAACAGTAAGTTTGATCTTTTAAGAAAAATGACGTTATTGAAACTCATCTGGCGGCCTGCTTGAACTTTGGGTTACAAAAGTTTACATCGGAAATATACGCCAAATTTTTCATTTTTAATTTGTCTTAACCATTTAACTATGTCTTCTAAAAGTGACATATACTCTTGCACAGTTCTAAAATGTTTCCAGCTGTTTGTTCCTCGAGTAGATAACAAAATGAAGAAATATCAAGTTCGACGGAAGTAGACTTTTCGTTGTGCAAAACTCATCACATTTATACTCCTCAGACGCTTAGGTCGAATGGTAGATTCTTGTAATGGTTGAATGAATAGTCGCCACCAAACTCACGTTCGATTTTCTGTTTATCCTCCATTCTAGATCGGAAGCTAATCCAACACCAGCTGACTGTTTCATATTGTCTTTAATAGTGCTTTTATTAACATCACACGGACGCAGTAATCATTTCGTTTGAATATATTGTTCTGATAGTGAACCTGCTGAAAAATTCCATACTGTATAAAACATCCTATTTGGAATAAAGCGATTACTATTATTATTAGTAGTAGTATCTTTTAAATCTTGAGTGTTCTGTGTTTAAGATCATAGAAGTAACACTGCTAATCGAAGCTACAATATGACTCCTTCGGGAAAGTAGTTTTTTTCAGTGAAATACAATTAAACCATATACACATAAACAACTCAGCAGACCATTCAAGTAAAAATACAGACAGGAATTATTATTGTCATTATATGTCTGTTAGGGAGGCATAAAATCAAAAGTGAAGTTATTCTTAGGTAAAAATCACATGTATTATGTTAACGATCATTATCAATATCATTAATGAAAACAAAACCCAATTCTCCAGCATACAAAAGATCTATGATAACGTAAAAATTCAAAGACAATAAAAATTGCAATTACACGAATGCAAATACACTCTAAATGATATCCGTCATTGAACTATACTGTACGAGAAAATGGAAATTTTATACACACATATGTATGTACAAATACATGCACGAGAAGAAAGAAAACGAAAGATAGAAATAGTGAGAAGTAGTAAGTGAACGAAGAAAAACATGACAGTACTTGATCTTGAAGATCAATTTTGCTGTTGATGACAACAGTAACCGTAGCAAGGAGCATTGAGTAGAGAACATAAGAACGCCGAATAAGAAACATTTAGGGGTTGAAATTCGCACATATAGTCACAATAATAGAAACAATGAGACAGTAAATGAAATTACGTACACAATCATAACAAATAATGCATAGATGAAATGAACAAATAGCTTTGGGTTTATAAATCATGTGAAGGTGATATTAAGAATTTACTGGTTCTCTTAAAATGAAGGGACTTAAAGATAAAACAAAATGCGAACGAAACGGCTGATGCAAACAGACAGATAATGGTATATGCAAAACGTCATTTTTAAAGAAGAATACACGACTTTCAGCGACATGTTTAAGACAATAAGTAATGGAATAAAAAATGTCACTTTTATTGAATACGTAAGAGACAGGAGAGAAGTAAGGTAATGAAAAACGAAAAATATCATATCATAAAACCCATTTGCACAAACATTAGAAAGTGACAGTAAACAATGAGGTCACATCGGGGTGCAGACATACATAGATTGATGTAAAAAAAAGTGGAGAGATTCAAAAACAAATTTACATATAAGAATAGGAATCAACACAAATAACACGTAGACAAACATAAAGCTATAGGGAAAATGGAAACAACTGGTTAGAAAACTGTACTAACGCTTATCTCCCCTGTGTTATGGTTAGGGTCTGGTTACATTCTACGTTCAGATAACCGCCTACGAATGTTACTACTGTGGTTATCATTTTGTGAACTACTGGATAGGTTAGCAATGTCCTCGAACTTGTCCTTGAAATAAATAATTTCACTAGATGGAATTTCAGTTATATCAATGCATTCAAAGTTATTGACAATTAGATTATTTTTCTGATTTGTAGTGTTTTTGTTGTCTTTGTAAATATGAGTGGAAGATGAAGGGAACGAAGTTGTTTGTGCCAACATCAATTCATTAAGATTGCTTTCTGATGTAGACGACGACTCGACAAGTGGACGACGACGACCTTTAAATACTTTCCGTATTTCAGTATCATAATGAACATAACAATTAGCCAGATCTGGAAGTTGACCTAAAAGTCCTTCGTATAAGTAATCTACGTAAAAAAAAAAAAAGAAAACTAAAGAAGACGTGTCCAACAGAAACTAACTTTTAGAAGCGAATACTACTACACAGTAAACTATACATCTAGGTAGGAGAAACTAAACTGTCAATACTTCAATGGGCAATCGGGATGAAGCCAAATGTCACAGTGACACCCATGACCCTTGGATCGAATCTAGGACATTTTTGTTTCACAGCTAGCGTGTTACCACTGAGTCAAAATTCGATCGTTCACATTTCCCTGCTTGTATCAATTTGAGATATGATGCGATCAGCAACCATTGCAAAAGGCGAGGATTTGTCGTCACACCCAACTTGACTGACCACACAGGTCAAGAGTTTTCATTGGAAACTTCGGGAAACCCATGTCGAAGAGTTTCACTAATGAACACAAGACAATCGATTTAGGTTTGTGCAGATTTATTAATTTCAAGGTGGTATTCAGTAGAATGACATCATGTGTATCTGTAGCACCGCCCACGTATCATTGTCACATAGAGTGGACAGTGTTAAAGGTGTAATGCTCAAGGCAACGAAGGTAGGTAAGTCGGGTTACAAATCTTAGTGGTTATCCGGAACTTACTTACACTCCGTCAAAATATCTGGTGGTAACAGGAGTTAAATTTCAAAGTTTCTGGGAAAACAAGGCTGGATATTAAGAAAATATTTACAAACCAACCTAAATAAAAAATGGAAACGGTTGACTTTTGAAGAGGTGATGTCCAAGTACTCGGTTAGAAGCTGCCGGTTAACAGTTTAAATTCACTTCGCCTTATTTAGTCTAGAAAATTTGGTGATAATAGATAACAGATATAAACAACCTAGTATGCCTGTACTTGCGTTTATACACCAACAGGCAGTTATTCGAGCATACTAGTTGGCGCACAATTCCAAGCAAAACCAAAGTTCATTAGTAGGAACAGTAATAAGATAAACGAGTGGCTTAATCATGGAGCATCAAATATACTCCTCATCAACCCCTACTAATGTGACTAATTAAAATATCCAATCATTTAGCTTAAACACATTTAGAACCAGACAACAGGAAGTATTCAGAATGCACTCCTTACGTCCGCTGATCCCATGCGCTGAAAAGTCCGAGTGTACAGAATAATTCGATAACACAGAATCACGTATGAAATAGGCACAATCGAGTACGCGTTTAACTGTGTCATCATTTTGTATACCAAACGCAAAAGCCAATAGTTCCGCAGCATCAGAACGACTGATCTCCCAATCTTTCATTTCATTTTCAACACTATTGTTCAAATTATTGTAAGCCTGAAGAAGAAATATGGAGAGAGAAAGCATTCACATAATTGTATAAGGTGGTATCTGCAAAACTCACTACACTCATTAGATAGCTTAGAAACACAATCAGAATCAAGCATCCACTGCATCTGTTTAAACATCAACAATCTTCAGTTATTACTCCCAAAAGACCGTAAAATTGTACAAGTGCTGAGACCACACATTAAAGGGATGTGTAAACTTTTTTTACTGTATAGCTGAAGACATTTTAACACGACTTTCGGAATACTTTGTAATGTGGACAAAAACTACAACAGCTGGTAGAAAAATTCCGTTTAATGATAAAACTTGATCAAGCCTGGTATTTTTTTCATTAAAAAGATTGGTATCCCCTTGTTTTGTAAAAGTACCAGCTGGCCATACTTTCAAAAGTTTCAAGATCGTCAAGGAAAATGTTCAGTTGTCTACTTTCATTGAAAGTGCTAGGTTTCCGTTCTAATGGTTAGGATATAAAAAAATCTAGAATGAATACATAACTCTTTAGGAAACGCTGGTAATAATCAATACTACGTGGGAAACTTAATCCCGACCGATAGTTGCTACCTTGACGTGGTGGTCAGGCTTGCATATCACAATGACACAACGAGCTATGCTGGTGGAACACTTGTTCCCTCGAGGTCCTACCATACCAGAAAGGTCTGTTGGATGGTGGTCAGATGAAAAGCATTTACTGTTGTGGTGTAAATTACTACATTATAATGGGGGGCGAAATCGTACTGCTGCTAGCCGGATAGCGCATGCTTGCAGTAAGTTGTTTCCCTTGGATGACCAGCAGTCTCATGCTGATGCTCGCTTCTCAGTGGAAGGGGGGTTAGAAGAGTTCGGCCCAAAAGATAACCCACTCCACCATGCCCCATGGTTTGCCGGGTCGGCGGCATTGATTCATTTGTCGTTCCGTGTTGACCATCCGGCTCTAAAATTACAAAAGTTCAAAATAATCATACTCAAAAGTCTACGTGTGACAGGCCTTAAGCAGATGTCCGATGGGCTCTGCGGTCCCACAAATCTCTTTCAGGTACCTTAAGAAGAAATGGCCTTCCACGGTGTGGGCAACCGGGAAGTGTCAACCGCCTTCACAACTCAATCAGTACTCAAGTTTCCTCAGACTGCTATCCACCTCCCCTATCATTACCTTCTAATCCTCTTTCACGTCTCTCAACTAACGATACTACATCATCTTCAATTTATCCTAGCTCTGCAGCCTTCGACAACTATCTGAGTCCATAGGATAGCATCCTTGATCTCTCTAAACCACGCTCAGAACTACATATTGGAGCCCTCAATGTCCACACCCTCGTCAAATTGGTCAACAGGCTTCGTTGGCAAAGACTAGCAACTTGAGCCATGGATGTGTGCTGTATTTGTGAGACTCGCATACAGGACCCAAGTGTAGTTATTCACCTGACCTCTCCCGGCCAATCTGGTGAGTCCACGAAATTCACCCTTCGAGTTTCTGGAGATTCGATAGCTAGCTCTCACGGTCTTGCAGGTGTAGGCAAAGCACTGAGCACTAGGGCTATCTGGGACTCGTCAGCTGGATGTACCTGCCTCCTAGTGAGTGTTGTCCCCACCGTAATTCGGACTCGTTAGCGATCGCTTGAAACTCCAGAGCATCATCCACTACACCATTGGGCCGCGATAGCCACTTCTTGTGCGACGGGTATAGTTTCAGTGTTATTGCTTGTATTCTACCGTCGTAGATTGGACTGAATTGATTCATCTCTGTTAGCATTTGGGCTCCTGTGCGGATGCCTCGATATACCTGTGTAGTACTAGTTATAGTAAAGATGGATAGTGGCTAGCAGTAGAACCCAGGATGCGCATTTCGTCCTATTTAGGACTCGTCAACTGGATGTACCTGCCTCTCAGTGAGTGATGTTGTTCCCACCGGGATTCTGTTGTATATCCTCATGTATGATGAATTACCATCCTCATTAGTAGTTCTGTTCCCCGAACGTTTTTGTCCCATTTGCAAACATTTTTACTGATATCAAACGTTTTTGCTTGGTTGGATGCTTATCCGTTTAACTCAATGTGTACGTATCCATAATTCTGAAAAAATTACTCTGTCTATTGATGATATCCAACCACAATACATGCATTTTCATAGTAAAATAGATTTTCTAAATTATCAACTAATAAAAATTCTACATTTTCTGCATAGATTATGTAAACTATCTCGAATTCATTTTGCTTACTAAGTGAAGTAAATGACAAGCTGTGTGACTTGCTGAGACGTCTACAACCTTCTAATTTGTCAAGTAATTCTCAAGCCTTTCATTTTGTATCTGTGATTCATAATCTGCGAAGTAAAGAACGTATTTTTGAAATCCGGTGAATATTTAGTTGTGTGAGTTATATTGTGAAATAAACGAAACAATACTGACAGCTGCCACCTTGACGTCGTGGTCAGGTTTGCATATCACAATGTTATTCACCTGACTTCTCCTGACCAATCTGGTGAGTCCACGAAATTCACCCTTCGAGTTTCTGGAGATTCGACAGCTAGCTCTCACGGTCTTGCAGGTGTAGGCATAGCACTGAGCACTAGGGCAGAAAACTCACTACTAGAAAGGGTCGCAGTTGATAGTCGCCTCTGCGCTATGAGGATGAACAGCACAGTGAGAACTAAAAGGAATAGTGAGACTCGCCGTTGTCTCTTTGTAATCTCTGCTTACGCACCCACTGACTGTGGTTCGGATGAAGTGAAGGACGAGTTCTACCGAAAACTGTCTAGCCTCCTTTCGAAAGCCAAACTTTCGGACGTGGTGGTTGTTGCAGGCGACTTCAATGCACAGGTGGGTAGACTGAGTGAGGCAGAAAGGCACTTAGGTGGCACTTTCGGAGTCACGGCTGAAAGTACAGATAACGGTGATAACCTACTTCAACTATGCTCAGATAATCGCCTATTTTTAGCTAGCACAAATTTCAGACATCGAGAAGTCTTATGGCAATGTCTCTCACTGGAAGGTGTGTGTGCCGAGTAAGTACATCACCTCATTGAAGGCCCTCTACTCGAACACTTGTGGGCGTGTTAAAGCCTATGGTGAGGTGTCCAGGGAGCTATACTCATCGAGTGGTGTCCATCAGGGGTGCCTACTCTCTCCATTCTGATATAATTTCATCACAGATATTCTTATGGGTCTGCCTCTCGTCACCTGATTACACAGACGTTGACCTAATCGCAGGAGAATTTCTGTTATACCTAGAATATGCAGATGACATGGTCCTGTTAGGTGAAGACGCTGACAAGATGCAGAGTCTTCTGAACACTTGGAGTGCCAATTTGAGAATGTTTGGGATGCGTTTCTCACCACCCAAATACAAATTGCTGCTCCAGGATTGAGCTTCAACGGTGCCACGGCTAACAATGGAGAGTGTAGTGATTGAGTGTGTCAACCACTTCACCTACCTGGGAAGTAAGATCAGTCCTGGTGGCTCAGTGGCCGATGAAATCTCTGTATGGATATAAAGGGCTCGACTGGCTCTCACCAACTTACGCCACATGTGGCGCCGCCGTGATATCCGATTGTCTATTAAGGGTCGCACGTAATGCACAGCAGTCCGCTGTGTTCTGTTGTATGCCTGTGAAACATGGCCATTGAAGGTGGAAGACATGAGAAGACTTTAAGTGTTTGACCACCGTTGCCATCGTACTATAGGCCGTATTCCGTGGTATCACCATGTCAGTAACGCAGACGTCAGGTCGACAGTTTTAGGGAGTAGAGGTAAATCAGTTGACGAGGTTATGAACCTCCATCAACTAAGATGGTTGGGACACGAACTACTTATGCCTAGTCGCCGATTGCCTCGTCACACAATGTTGGCTGAGGTGGGTCCAGGCTGGAAAAAGGCCCGAGGCGACCAGACTAAAACATGGCACCAATGCATGAAGTCTCTGACTGTTGGTTTGAGCCATGTGGCGCGATGCAGACTAGTCGGTTGGGGTCCGCGGGACAAGAGGAACCAGTGGTTGGAGACTCTAGGTGATGTGGCTCAGAACCGATGTCAGTGGCGCAGATGTATGCACACACTATCCTCATCTTAACATTATGCCGAGTCTCACCACTTTGTCATTCTTCCTTTCTTTCTTCTCGTACTTTATATTTTTTTTGACTGAATTTTCTTATCTTCATCTTGCACCTCACTGCCTTTTTACTTGATGTACTGATATGAGGTGTGGCAACTGGGACCATTACACAGCAATGCCTAGTCCTGTGTTGATATTGATGTTGATGAGAAACTTAATTTTATAAAATTATTAACCGATTCCTAAACACACTAGTTTGATATTGAGAATATCACCTCATAGGCAAACGAAAATAAATGTAACGCATTTATTGCATAGTATCAAGATTTTTGTGTATCCAAGATGTTTACCTTGGAAATAGAATCATTTATCTCTATATTGTCAAAGTTTTCATCTACAGTGGGATTTCTAACATACTAAACCGATAAACAAGAGTAGTCCGTGAATGTAACTGACTAGAGATACTATTTCAATGACCAAGATTACTATGTAGACTGATGGTCCACAAATCAGATTGTAGGTCTGTGGGGATTGACTGATTTCAAGGTGTTGACGATGGACTGACGTCAGTTGGAGAACCATTGAAAATTTGAGAGCACTGGACAGCTATTTCGTCTTAGTATGGGATTGGTCAGCAGTGTGCACTCATGCTACCAACATGAATCCAACCATGTACCGTCAGATTTCGTGGCAAGCACGTTACCGCTTGGCCATTGAGTCAGAAGGTAATGGTTTACATTTTCATACTTCTTTCGATTTGCCATATAGCGCGATCATTATCGAATGTCATCGGCCAGTATTTGTTGAAGACCATTTCGAAATTCACTGTTTATTGTTTAAAATGTCGTTTGATTAATTATTTTCATTAGGGAAACTGAAACGAAGTTAACGATTCAAGCTTCGTTACTAAATAATGCTTGTAAAAAACCATTTACAGATAATTAGGGAAATGTTGAAACGACTATTAGGATTATGAGGAAAAGGAACGACAACAAAATGAACACATGTACAATAAGCATTACCTTGGTAGCATAATGGAAAGCTTGATTCGGAGATGCTGGAAACAGAAGCATAGATGCATGGACTAAACACATTCGAAAATTGAACCTATTTAACATCTGAAAGGAGGAAAGTATTACAACTATTATGATTCGGAATATCTATGTTTCAGAGCGATTATTTTAAAAGTTTTCAGTTAATTTTGTTAGTTTTAGTACAAAAGTTTCTATTCCGATGCTCATTTAAATTAAGCCAAGAGCCTAGCATTTATTGAAAGTAGTTAACAAGATAAATAATTCAAGATAAAATAATACAACAGTTGCAGAATTATATTATAACTTCATAAAGGAACAAAAACGTCTCATAACCTCATGCGTGGAAATACAGGGCTTGATTGGACACACTTTCGTCAACATTCCGTACTGTGAATTTGGTGAACATTTGTGATGATAGCATGTATAAATTGTTACTGAAGTACTTGGTCAGATTTTCGGTGCTATATTAACAGACCACTTATCCCAACTGAATAAAGATGAGTAAAATGCTGGAACATGAACCCCTAACCACTGTAATAGTTTTCGTATATTTAGATCAGATTGATAAACCCTTATAGTCTGAACGGTTTCTAAACTATGGTATGGTTTCGCATCTTAGGTCGCATTAGTCTTTTTAGTTCACCGAACGAAAGGAACTGCCAGTAAAGGGATTGTTCAGAATTACGATTCATCGTGAGAATATTTCTGTAACCATGACTCTGACTATTAAAAGTCAAATACACGAACAAACTTCTATTCTTTTGGATTACATTTACTTATTTGACTTACCGGATCATTATAATGTTTGAGAACTAACTTGATAAGATAGGTAGCTTTCAAATTAGGTTGAGTTGTTGGGAACAGCACATGAATAAATTCTGCACGCGACAGATAAGGCCTGTCTCGACATACATCCAGCATGTTACTGAGACGTGTTTGAAACCAGTCTGATTGTTTACCATCCTCTGCTGCGAAATTATGATTATGTTCAAGTGAGCTAAAATACAGAAAAGATTTACAAAGATTAGTTTTATTTACTGTGCATCTTTACCAACGTATGTGTGCTGAGAGTTTCAAAAAAGATTTAAAACCACATGATTCCCAAAGGACTCAAACCATACGCTGGTGCTGAGCAGCATTAATTAATATTAAGTTGAGCTAACTTACCTTCAATATTAATCAAGCAAATAGCTAGTTATTAACGAACATTTGGTTTGTGGATGGAAATATCTATGCAGGTCTATGTACGCACTACCGAAAAATAATCCTGGCGGTGACAAACACCTAAGGAAGTTTTTAATTCATTCAGAGATAAATTATAAAGAGTCAAGAAGCTGTCAGAACAGCTGCAAGGGAAGGATTATAAATATCAATTTATGGCAAGCTAAAAAAAGATTGTTCTTTGCGGCTATGTTATAACTAAAACCGAGTCAAGCAAAATTAATTTACCCATAACATGTATCTAGTGAAGTAAGAACTAACACCTACTTCATTGCAGTAAAACTTACCACTTTCTAATCCATAAGAGTGAAATATATTCACTGATTTAATGAACTAAGTAAAATTTTATATAAATAACTATTCGAGGAAAACATACTTCAATTTTATTAGCATCTAAGTTTCAGAGTCAGACAGGTTCAATCAGACACCATCAATTAACTCAACCATATTTACCTTCCTGAGTTACAAGTTTTCATTAATGTCTAATTATCTTAGCAACCTACTAACTAAACCAAACGGCTTAAAACTCTCAACTGACTCATCCCTACTAAAAGATGCAAGATCGCGAAACACTTCACATACAATACTTTACGTTCACGCGAAATAGAATCGTAAATATTCTTCAACGTCAGTAAGAAACTTTGTTACATACGCTTGAACGCTAATATCACAAAACAGACAGTGAATATCATATTGAACGGTCCAAACTGTCACAATAGGATAGATGGTAACAAACTAAAGGTTATAGAAATAAAGCAAATAGGCAAAATGGCAGAAAGCCATCAAAAGAAGGGGAGGAGTGAGACAATAATAAAATTTTCTATGACGACGAAGATAGCATGAGGATACACCTGCACCTTTGAGATCGACTCCGAGCCATGTAACCTAGAGTTCATGACCATCAGTTCCACTCGTCACGAGGACCCCAACCGGGAAGTCAACATTCCCCTACGCGGCTCACATCAACAAAGACTTCATCGACTAATGCCATCTTTTTCTCTGGACACCTCTGACCGCATCCCAATTAAAAACGCTTATGAATAACATTCCATACTAGGGTGAACAATGGACTGCACATGCTTAACACATACCCCAGCCACCTCAATCGACATACATTCACAGCTCCACCCACTTACCTCTTCTGCCAAACCTTTACGCTTGACTTCTACATTACCCAAATGGTGGCACCATCACACATGTCCTATGCAAAGAAGGTAACGGCGGTCAAACATCCGGAACCTTTTCATGTCCTCTATCTTCAGTGGCCACGCTTCACAGTCGGGGAGCAGAACAGAGCAAAGAAGGCAGTACAGTATAACCCAGCCTCTAACATAAAACCGGATATGACCCACACACCATACATAGTGCAATTTGACAAAAGCCAAGCGAGCCCTCTATATTCATGCACAGAGTCACTCGGTAACTAACACACAACGCTTGATCCGACAACTTACAAAGTGAGTGAAGTTGATCAATGTCTTCAAACAATTCAGACACCAACGATAAACAAGGCCTCAATGCAGACCAGTCCTGCAGTCGGAATTTCCATTTGGCCACCTAAAGTGTGAAAAATGCTCTATACCTTCTCCGAATCTCCCTTCACATCGCACGAATATGTTCTCTGTGTACTCCAGATATGCTGAAAAGCCTCTCGGAAGGACGAAAGGCATACATTTAAAAGCAAATCTAATTTAAGTGACAATAGTCAGACTGGACACCTTTAACAACTAGCGGTCAACGTACATAACTCAACTTAAACCTTAACATGGGCTCCAAAATGCTCTAGAGTATTCGAATATAATAATTCAAGTGAGTGATGTACTGACTCGGTACGCCTTACCGTTGAAGACACTGTCACAAAATTGCTCGATTAACCGAGTTAGATGCCACCTCCACGTTGAAAAATACAGTTTATTTCAAGCGTCATTAAGCGCTTCCGTAAACCAGAAAGTTTTCAAAACCAGGCAAATGGTCGATAAGTTTATGACATGATCGGGTTTTCAGGATTCACTGATTCCATGTACCACTTAAGCTCCTTATGACTGCAGAGACTGGGATTTTCGAAATTTTCGTTAGACTGAAAACTTTTAGGTTATCACAGAATTTCTTACATTTCTGAAAGCTGAGGTAAACAGAAATTCAGAGCAGTCAGGGCAGAGCATATCAAATTCAGATACGCCGGCTAAAACTTCGTGGAGTCTAATCTCTCGAACAATAACTGCTACTTGGCAATGGTAGTCGGGATCGTACATCATAACTACTCATTGACCTATGCTGGTGAAACGCTTGATCGTTGACGACCTACCATGTCACAAAGGTCTATTGGATGTGGGACAAAAAGCAGTTACCGTTATGGTGTTAATTGCCATACCATGATGAGGGTTCGATGGCGACGTCGCACTGCTGGCTGGGGGTGTCACAACAGTAAGGTGTTTACCGAGGATCACCAGTGGTGCCATGTTGTCTTCCCTATGCGAATGCGGGAGGTGACAAAAGGTAGGCCCTAAATATAGCACACTCTCCATTACAAAGCGGCATACCGGCGCCAGCAATATGGGTTCATAACCAGAGTCAAAAATAAAAAACGTAAATCTCAAAACTATAAAGAAGCCGTCTGTGTGTGGCCTCAAACAGATGTCCCTTGGAATCTGCGGTCATGCCCTAACTCTTCTCTTTCAGGTACTTTAAGAAGAGCTAGCATCTCACATTGTGGGCATCTGGGAAGTGTCGACCACTCGCACAACTTTCAGCATTCAAGTCCCCCCAGATCATTATCAACCTCACCTTCTGATCTTCCTTCACGTCTCTTGATCCACATTCCCATACCATCTTTGATTCCTTCCAGCTCTTGACAACCATTTCACTTCACGTAACAGCATCCCTAGTCTCCTGAAACCCCGCTCAAAACTATACAGTAGAGCTTTCAATGTTCGCAACCTTCGTCAAATCAATCAACAAGCCTCGTTAACCAAAACTCTAGCATATCCAACATGCATACACGATACAAGTGCGGTTATTCACTTGACCTAACCCGGTAATATGGTGAATCTGTAAAATTTACCCTTCGAGTTCCCGCAAATTCGATGGCTAGTGTAGGTATGCATGGCAGTAAGTGATACGGCAGAAAGTCCATTGCTCCACTGGGTCCCAGTTGACAGTCACGTATGCGCTGAAAACCAAATACTCAGACGTTGTAGCCGTTGTAGATGATTTCAATGCACAGGTGGGTAGGCTAAGTCAGGTAGAAAGACACTAAGGTGGTAATTTCGGAATCCCAGCTGAATGAAAAAATAACGGTGATAACCTACTACAACTATGCTCACATAACCATTTATTTATAGCCAGACCAAACTTCAGACCTGAAGAGACATTGTCTGACGTGGCGTCCATAGACCTCAGACTCAAAGGTGGATACAGATAGGCCATATTTTATATCACCGCTGGAAAGGGCCGGTGAGAGACTGCTGCTCCTTTTGCAGCATGTTTGTCTGCGCATAAATGGACGTAGAAAAACATTAGCAAAAAGACTACTGGGAGTGCAGCTGGACAATGAGAGCATCAAGCTTGCTTTCAGTGAGAAAATGGCTAGACAGTTATAGTAACAGAACACCGCTTATCCAGAAGAAGTCCGGCGTCATCTCTAGTCTGCTGTAAAAACAGCGATTAAGACCGAAGTCGACTCTCAGAGAGTGGTAAAAAGGGGACAATGGATCCTACCAGCTTCTTCCGAATTAAAGAATGCACGCAAACCCATCCCTGCAGGCTCCGAGGACAATGGGGAGCGGAAGTCACTCAAATGTAGACTAACGAAAAGACTATACAATGACCACGAATAGTGGTGGGCAGCGAAAGCTGAAGAGATGAAAAAGGTAGCGGCAGTAGGACACAGTAGACAGTATTTAGACTTATCAGGTAAACCAGAGCAAGACTAGCTGGAGGATGGGTCTGGACTCACTAAGTGAGATGACTGAAAGGATGGGCGGAACACTCCGATGAACAGTCTAACTGACCTCAAGCTACTGAGCATAATCCAGGTGTCTCCTGAATGGAACATCGAGATAGGATCCTCAACACTTTAAGAAGTCGAGAAACTATAGGCAACCTGAAAAAAGAGCGTCAGGGCCAGATGGACTAGTACTAGAGGTATTTAAGAACGGTGATCAAGGATTTTTTGTTAGTTGAAATGTTAACCGATGTGTGGGAGTCGGATACTACTCCCTCCCCCGACTGATTTCAACCGCTGATTGTTCCAGTCTTCGAAAAAGGCAAGAAGTCCTCCCATGCTGGCCAAAAGGGAATCAGCCTGACAAACACTGTGTCTAAGATCCGAGGTTCGAAGATCACTGGACGTCTGAGTGGATCTCGAAAACAGCAAGTCCGAGAAAACCGTGCGTGTGTCGACCACACACACTCTATCAATTTATGGAATACGTACACTAGCTGTATTGCTCGATCTGAAGGTGGAGTTCAACTCCGTCGATCTAGAGGCTATATGACAGTGTCTTTCCCCGAAAAAGCAAACCGTGTAAGTATTTAACTTTGTTAAGGGTTCGAACACTCAAGGTGAGTGAGTTGTTAGGTGGGCCATGTACATCGAGTGGTCTGTTAAGGATGTCCACTCTCTCCATTCCGCCTCAAGTTTGTCACTGATGTTCGTATGAAGGTCTCCCTCTCCTCATCTGATATCAGATCATAGGGACTGATCTCATTACAGTAGAATCCTTGGTAGGATAAATAGATGGCACAGTCCTTTCAGGTGAAGCCCCTGACAAGATGCAGGGTATTCTGAACACCATGAGTGGTAATTGAGAATATTTAGGGATATTTGCACTCTCGGCACTCGTATACCAATTGTCGCTCCAGAACTAATCTGCAGTGGTGCCATCTAATAATATGGCATGAAGTGGTTGGGTTTGTTCACCACTTCCCTTATCTAGTATGTCGGATCAGCTTCAGTGGACCAGCGAGCGACGGAATCTATGCACGGATAGAAAAGGTTTACATAGATTTCGCCAACTTACGAGAAGTGCGGTGCCACCCAGATATCCTGTTGCCGATCAAGGGTAGAGTGTACTGAGCCGCAGCTTCCTCCGTATGATCATATGTGGAATATGACCATAAAAGGCAAAGTAGATGAAAAGGCTTCGGGTCCCGACCGATAGCTGCTACTTTGACGTGGTGTTCAGGCCTGTACGTTACAATGACTAGACGAACTATGCTGGTAGAACGCTTTTCCTGAGAGGTCCTACCATGCCAGAAAGGGCTGTAGGATAAGGTGGTTAGACAAAAACCAATTACCTCTGTAGTGTGAATTACTACATTATGATGGGGGTCTGAAGGCTAAGTCGCATTGCTGTTAGCTGGGTGAGGTGTGACAGCAGTGTGATGTATCCCTTGGATGACCAGCAGCGCCATACTGATGCTGCCTTCCCAATGGAAAGGGTGGTGGTTAGAGAAACCTGGTCACAAAAAAATAGCATACCACAATCTGCCCCAAGGCCTTTCGGTGCCAGCGGTAGACAAAACGCTTGTAGTTAGTGAAATTGTGTTCGAGGAGATGTTTGTTATGTACTAAAACAGAAATGACTGGCGAAATAGACAGAAAACCACCAAAGTTAGGAAAGCTGAATTGAAAAGGCGCAGAAGATACTGATGGTTTCATACCGAAAGGTATTTAAATACAGTAACGCAGAAATATCTACTAGACGAAGATATAATAACACAGTGTTGATAGCATAACATCAGAAGTGACAGTAACATCGTCCATTAAAAGTTTATATTTACCACTTACAGCCTACAAATTGACAGTTTTTACCATAACAACATTAAGATATCAACTGGCTTTGTAAACGAAAACAACAATATTCATACTGAAATTACTTCAAGATTATAGAATCCATCATACATAGAGAACAATGGAAACGAGGGTAGTAAGGTAAGTAGTTTAAGATGTATCATTATTTGTGCATTAATAAACTTATAAAAGAATTCTTAGTTGAAAATCCCAATCACAAAATTTGAAGTGATCAAGTACATGAAACCTTATTTCCTCTAAATTGAAAAGTCATGTTTCACAAAAATGTAGTACAATAGAGAAAACTGAAGTGTAGTCTATTCAACATTTACCGGGTACTGTAAATAAAGTAATTTGGCACAAGTCAATCTAGCATTATGTAACTATGCAGAGATTTCCTTGGTCAATGACACACTACAGCTGATCCGACTTCCCAGGTAATTGCAGCTTGCAAGTGTCTGAGTTACAGAACCTGGCAGATGGTGAATATCTAGTTGATATATTCACGACTAGAACTGGATCCCGCTTAGTTTTTGGTTTTGCTGTTCCATAGCTTTAATTAGGCAACTGATGGCTACAGAAGTTAGAATCTCAGACTGATTCCCATGTGTTTATCACAAGAGGATTTCCCGCCTTACTTGAGGACTGAAACAACCAGTAATTGAGACTGCTGAGAAGAGACCCTATCTGACTCCCACACAATAGTTAACACTTTATTTAACCCGACCAATAATCCACGACTACCGTCCTAATATGTCCCTTATACTAGTCCATCTGATCCTGCTACCTTTTCTCGTTTCAAGCTACACATAGCCTTCTCGACTTCTGCAACAGGTGAAGGTCCTATCTCAATGTTTTACTCAGGATCAGACTGGATAGCTGATAAAGGAGCAGTAGATGAAGGTCAGTTGAACTGTTCCTCGAAGTGCTCCACCTATCGTTTCAGCCCTCCCTCTTGTGAGGGCATCACAGATACACTGTTCTCCGTTGTAGTCTCAGTAACCACTGACATTACTGCTCTAATAACTATCTATTTTTACTCATCGTCGCCGTCTTTACCATCTGTGTAGCTTTCACCAAACAGAACTATTCGGGTCACTGAATAAACTGCTTGTCAGTCTACACTTGAGTTGCATCCGATCCTCTTTGAGCTGGAGCTCACAGGAATGCGTTCGCATGCACTTATTAGCTCAGAAGTTGGTGAGATCCACTGGTTCTTTTCTAATCTTTTTCCGAGCATCAGCTACGGTTTTAACACTAGTTTTAAAGCACATTGCAGATGTCACCAGGGTTCTTGTGGATGAGTACTGATGTTCTGCTTCAACAACTGCTACCTGTAATCAACATTAGATGTTAAAGCGAGTACAACTGAACAAACAATTGAACAAAAACAATCCGCTTATTATGAAGATGTAGAAAGACAAAATAAAAATGACAAATCAACACTTACAACATTATTTGAAGTAATGAATTTAAATAAACAGTTTCCCTCAGGTGCCGGTAGTTTATATCTGCATGCTATTCTGATCTGACAAAAGTCATCATAGGACAAATCGCAAAGAGGAACTTCCAAATATCTAAATGTTGAGAAACAAGAAAAAGAATGATTACAATTTATCAATCCACTTTGTCGGACAGTGATATACAAAAAATAGTTTGCTCTGATAATTATCAAATAAAGCACCCAGATATCGCAGGTGTACTCTTTGAAGTAACAAATTTATACATAAAAATCTGACGGTCAGCTATAAACCTAGCTTTCATGACTCTTCATCCACATTGACAGTATAGTTGATGTGCAGAGTCGAATGTATTCATAATAGAACGCTTGTAAGTAGGGCACGTATGTGTGCCAGAGGTAACAAAGCCTCTTAAGAAGAATCACGAAATGATTAAGCTAGGGGATTCGGACCCCTATGCAACAGCACGTAACCAAGCGGAGTTAGGTCCGATGCAGAATCGCTTATTGGTAAGTACATAATTCGCTAGTATTTATATTCAGATACCAGATTCCAAAGTTATCGCATCAAAAGCTTAAGTTTCCACATAGATTAACTCCATAGATGAGACGAAACAGGGGCACTGCTCTGAACTTGACAAATATACTAAGAGCGACAGTTAGTCGCTGACTTTCTCATGCATATAATGATGCAAGCAGTCTAAACGTTATATACTGGGGGGTGGGGGAAATGTAAACTTTAGCTCACTCACAATACAAACAATGCTCAGAGATTCAGTTAAAATACATCCGATAATGTGGCACACCAAAAAGTTACTGGTGTGTTATTTACAACAAACATGAGTGATAAGTAAGTTAGGAATAGACTTGAATTGAAGAATCTAAATAAAAGTGGCTGGATGGAATAAGATGGAAAAGCCTAGAAAGCGTTATACTAATGACCAACTAATTCTAAACAAGTAAATTTGCTTCCAGGCGTTTGTGACACGGCTCTAAATAGACGAAGATTCGGGCTACTCTTTTTTGTGCATTGTTTTTTAAGCATTCCACAAATACAACATATAATATGTGATGGTCTCTTTGGAAAGCACTCAAATGAATTTGAACTAGGTCATTATGTGTGCCTGATGGAATTGTTTTAGCAGATAGAACAACGATAAACCTCAAGCAAAGTAGTACCAGTTCACGTTAACATAACTAGCAACAGTAAGAAATATAGAATTAACAAAACGGAAATATACTAACAGTGATTTCATCACAGAATATCTACTTATAAGCAAATACGGATGAACTAACCCAGCCATAATGCGGCGGATATTATCAGCATATAGTTGTGCATCCAATTGTTCATCTTCATTCGGTTGGTAGACAGGTAAAAACTATTGTCAAATTGCAAAACAAAAATGGAAAGGAAGACTTTTTACTTCGAATTATAAAAATATTGATTTAAATGCGCCAATTGTACCAGAAGTTGTTTAGTTAGTTCGTTCAGTATTGTACTTCATCGCCTAACAAACACATACGTTAGTAAAATCGCCAGTTTGTCGTTTTGTGATCCGTTGACATCAAAATCTTCCCAGTTCACAGTGGGTATGGTTGAGAAAAGAAAATTACTGTATCATGAAACAGTATGGATCAAATCTGTCACCAGTATATTTTTTTTCCAAATGTTGTAGGTTTGAAAGTTCGGTGTGAAACATAATAACAGCTATTCACAACCAGACTGCTTATTTCAGATTCGATGAACGCATCAGAATGTAATTTACCTCTATGTTTAAAGACATATTACATGCAACTATTAGTTGTAATAAAAATTCAAACTTCTTAAAATTGTCAAAATACTTCCTATCGGTTAATTTACGGTTGTCTGACCAATTAATCACTATTTACAAACTGTATTTAAACCCAAGTTTACCTCGGATTCTACATTTATAAATAACGCAAAACTGAAACAAAGTGAAACTTGATGTGGTGGTTGGGATCGTATGTCGCAATGACGCAACAAGCTACACTGGCTGCAACGCTTATTCCCTCGACGTCCTACCATATGAGAAAGGTCTGTTGGATGTAGTGAATAGAGAAAAAGCAGTTAGCTTTGTATTGTAAGTTCCTACGCCATGATAGGGGGTCAGTGGATGGAATCTGTCATCTTGGGGAAGTCTGGTGTGAAATTCAGCCTGCTGTTGAGATATCGGTAAAAATTGTTGGTAACCCACATCCAAAGGTTAGCAAATGTCTGTGGATTTCAGAAACGTCATCCAGTCTAATTGATGCGAGAAGACTTATTCTACCTAACTCTGGACCCAATGAAGAGTGAAGGCAACTGTAGCGTAATTTGACTAAGTCTTCTCAATGAACGCGAGCAGTGGTGGGTGACGAAAGCGAAAGAGATAGAAAAGGCATCAGCGTTGGGAAACACCCGGCAACTATTTAAGACTATCAAGGATACCGGTAAGGAGAGAACGATGGTTAGTGAAACCATTACAGAAAAGGAAGGGACACTGATAATATTCCAGGACAACCGCCTAAAAGGCTAGGCGAAACACTTTGAAGCACAGTTCGACTGGTATTCAGCCAACGCTCCTCTTGCTAAACATTCAACCTGAAACGATACAAAGCAGCAGGACCTGACAAATTGACACCATAAGTTTTCAAGGATAGAGGTAGGAAATTACTAATTAAAGTGACGAAGGTACTACGTAGTATATGAGAATCGGAAGTAGTGCCGTCCAGCTGGTCTACTTCACTGATCACCCCAGTCTATAAGAAGGGAGAGAAGTATTGTAGTGACAACCATAGGGAAAACAGTCTGACCAATATCGCGTACAAGATCCTAGAGTCTGTAGTTATTCGAAGTCTAAATGGAGCTCGAGAAAAGGAGACTTAAGAATACCAGGCAAATTCCAGACCTAGATGACTGTGAATCGCTCAAATTTTCACTCTCGGACAGGTTCTGGAACATAGACTTACCTATCGGCCGATGGCCGACACCTGCAATATCTCTTGACCTGAAGGCGACATTTGACTCAGTCGGCAGTGAGATATTGTGAGTGTCTGGCGGTGGAGTACTGAGCAATTATATGATGCTTCTCAAGGCTCTATACCCGAACCCATGCAGTCGTGTAAGAGCTTATGGAGGGTTGTCATGTGAACTGACTAGTGGTGTCACTAGAAATGTTCACTATTACCGTTCCTACTTAACTTCGTCACACATGTACTGATGGAGACAAATTTAGGTACGTCTGACTTCACAGGGATTCACCTACTTCCTGGAGGTCATCTGGTTGACTTAGAGTATGCAGAGGATACAGTCATGTTAGGTGAGAGGCTGACAAAATGCAAGATCTTCTGAGCGCGTTGAGCAGAAATCTGGGTATGTTTGGTATGCATTTTTCTCCTGTCTGTCAAATGTCAGATAATGCTCAAGGACTGGTCTCCTGCAAGTACTCCCAATTTTTGGTAGGTAGCGAAGTGGTGGGATGCGTCAACGACTTCACTTGGGAAATCGCACCAACCCAGGCGGGTTGGTCGCTGACGAAATCTTCAGTTGGATACAGAAGTTCCTTTCGGTATTTGCCAACTAGCGAGATATCCGACTTTATATCAAAGAACGAACAAGCTGCGGTGCAGTCTGTTCTGTCCTGCTCTGCTATAAGGATGTGAGATATGACCCTTAAAAGTAGAAGACATGAAACGGTTACAATGTTTCGATCATGGGTGTCTCCTCGTAGCATTGCTTGCGTTTGGTAGAATCGCCGTATGAGCCATGTTGAGATCAGGCGAAGGGTACTAGGCAAAAGAGGCAAGCCGATTGGTGAGGTTGTGAAGCTTCATCGTCTGAGGTGGATTGGCCATGTATTGAGAATGCCGATCCACGTGTCATGCTAGGGGAAGTTGGATCAGGTTGGAAGAGGATTAAGGACGGCCAAATCAAGAGGTCGTACCAGACCATGAAGTATCTATTTAATGGTCTGAACAGTGTACGCAGATGTCGACTACCTGGCTGGAGTCCTCAAGACGAAGGGAGTCAGAGGTTGAGGACTGCTGGTGACTTGGCTGAAAGTCGGTCAAAATGCAGCGGATGTATTCACTTTGTGACATCTAAAGCTTGAATATTTGCACCTACCTTTATCTTCACATTTTTACTCCTCCCATGCACCTTTGCCTACCCTGATGTCAGTACTTTTTTATCCACTTGTTCTTTGCATGCTACTGTGAAGTGTGGTAACTGGCGCAGAAGGGCCTGTGTGTGAGGTTCGACGTTTATTTTGTAAGTCGGTCAAGTCAGCATTATTTACCAGATTACATTATTACGAGCAACTGCTTCCTTAACATCTAGTACCAAAACTGGATCGACCTGTTCTACACTAAATATTTGATACATGTTTGTATGTATATTTGATATGCAGCAGTATCTCATTTTTATTCTGACATTATTGAGATAATCCGCTTCAAAGAATCATCCAGAGGAGTCTTCAGAGGAATCAGGTTTATAGACTAATAAGTTGGGTCAAGATTTCCGTTACAGAGAAAACCCATCACTACATATCCCTTTTATACTTATAGTGACTTTCTGAGGCTAAAGATGTTTTGGTTTCTTGTGCTTGACAAGTAAATGTGTGATCAGACTGTTCGAAATGTATTGCGCAAATACATCACATTCCTCAGATAAACTTCTAATTACGCTATCGAAATTCTTATGCTTCAATCAGAAGTGTGTTTTACTTGTGTTCCTATCTGAATATCATCAAATCTCCAAACACGCTTGCATGTCATGAATCACTTTACTTCTTTTGTTTATTCTCGTATGCAAATTCAGTGAATTCAGCCCGCAATCCTTGCGTAAGACGTTCTGGATTTTAGTTTGATGATCAATCCAGCTGCATACTATGATATAATCTATTAAGGGGTGGAGTATATAACTTGGATATAGAATTTTATCGGATACATACTATTTAATTATTCAATATACAGGTACACTTACTTCGATTTCCAAATTATTGTACAGTTGAGTCATTGTTAACCATAGCAATTTCCACCTGATATCAAATTATTGTGAAAGATTAATTTATGGACAGCACTCATGTAAAGTAAGTGAAAATCTTTTACCCAGAAAATAGAAACACCAAAATAAAGTGCCTAGTTCAAATCGAAAAACAAACTAGTCAACACAAAACAAATATCTGGTAAATCTTAATGATAGTATGATATTATGATGAGGAAATGTTTGTTGCGGGTTTCGAATCCAGTGGTTTGATCCCCAGCTTTTAGCCGCGTTCTTTAGGCCTTTACCGTCTAGGGTGTTATACAGTTGTTTAGCATACTGTTTCGCATCAGTAAGGTTGTGTAGGGCTTCTTTGTGCACTCTTATCGCCAGATTGCAGATTCTCAAATCCCATCACTACAGCGGCAATTCAACGACAGCTACAAACCCTCGTTCTCCGATTCAAAACCATCCAGCATACGCCGATAGTCACATCGTATAAAGGCATTATGCACCCTCAAAGCACCATAACCCTTCGGACACATCGCCCTACCACCCGCGACATCTCCGATAAACGTTTGGCCACAATCTCCAACTCCCTCAAAATATACGACACGTACATGAGGGGGACAAAACAGTGACAACTGCTACTCCCGCGAAAACCTTGGCTCCATAACTATCCGTTTAGATTTTTCTTTTTATTATTAGTCCCTTGGGTTCTTAATGGAACATAGGGCTTCAGTAGCACGTCTCCAGTGCGCTCTGTTCTCTGAAATCTTTTCAACCTGGTCCCACGACAGCCCAGAAACTCTCATTTCTTCCTCGCACGACCTCCTCCATGTCACCCTCACCTGGGACACCCAACTCGTCGCTTCCCATCTGGGTTCCACTCGAGTGCCTGGCCTGACGCGTGATGTCCCCAGTCGGCCTTCTCAGTGTATGTCCAATCCATCTCCACTTCCTTCTGCATATTTGTTGAGTTATAGGTACTCGGTTGGTTCGTTGCCAACCAAAGTTCCTTGTTGCTTATTCTTATTATGCTGGCCATCTGATCTTCAGTAACGAGCCAGCGTAGGCAGTTGTTGATGATTGTCTGTAGTTTGTTGGAAATCCCTATCCTAACGCGCCAAGTCTCTGAACCATATAGAAGCACTGACTTGATGTTGGTGTTGAAAATCCGAATCTTGTTCCACATGCTGAGTGCAGAAGATCTCCACACTGGTTTCAGGCTAATGAACGCCTGTCTTGCTTTTCCGATCCTGCCTGGCTTTGACGTTCTCATCTGTGCCGCCGTATGTAGTTGAAACAGTGCTTCCCAGATAGGTCAAGGAGGCTACTTCCTTTAAGTTTCTCCCGTTGACGGTGATTGGAGCTTGTTATTGTTGTTGGTGGCGTTGGTTGGGTATCTTCACCTCTGTCTTCTCTACGTTCACTTGAAGACCCGTCTTCGCTGCCCTGACCTGCCTCTTCTGTCAACTTGTTAGTTTTCTTCTGTAGATCTGCAAGTTTGTGTGACATTAGACACAAGTCATCGGCGAAATCCAAGTCTTCTAGGTTCTTTTCCGTGGTCCAGCGCATGCCCCTCTTCTCGCTCCTCACTGTTTGTTGCATGATCCAGTCCACTACAATCAGGAAATATCATGGGTGATAGTAGACAGCCTTGTTTCACTCTTGTCTTCACTTCAAAAGCACCACTGAGCTTCCCATTGTGAATTACTTGGCATGTGGCATCTTCATATAGTTGTTGAATGAGGTTGATAAATATTTGTGGCACTCCATAGTGTTGTAGCAACTGTCAAATTACTTCTCGGTCGACGCTGTCGAAGGTTTTTTCAAAGTCGATGAAGTTGATGTAGAGAGTTGACTGCCATTCTGTACTTCGTTCTATGATGATGCGAAGCGTTGCAATTTGGTCCGCAGATGATTTGTACTTCCTGAAGCCTACCTGTTCCGGTCGTAGTCTTGAATTCAGTGCATCCTTTAGCCTCTCCAGGATGATGTGGCTTAATATTTTGCTTGGGGTGGGCAGGAGCGTGAATCTGCGCCAGTTCTTGCAAAGACTTAAGTCTCCCTTCTTCGGCAGTTTGACAAGGTAACCCTTCTTCCAATCACTAGCCAGGTACCTTCTCTTCCTTCCACACCTTCTGCAATAGTGGTGTGAGCATGTCCGCTGTTGTCTCTGCGTCTGCTCTCAGTGCTTCTGGCGGGATTCCATCTGGTCCTGCTGCTTTCCACATTTCAGTAGCTTTATGGCGTTCAGGACTTCCATTTTCGTTGGAGGATTTATGTTCTGTGGTTGTAGGTGGTATTTCTAGACGGAGTGCAGGTGGTGGTCGATTCAAGAGCTTCTTGAAGTGGTCAGCCCATCATTTCCTTTGTTTCTCTTCCTTCGTAATTAAATTTTCATCATCATCTTTGATTGGTTTCATCTGCGTTGATCTCTTCCCAGATAGCAACCTGGTTATTTGATATGACGTTGTCAGGTCTCTGTCTCTCCCACCTACAGCCTGTTCTGCTTCACTTGCCAGTGTTTCGTAGAAGTGTCTTTTGTCTTTGCGTGCACTCTTCTTCACTTCTTTGTCCAGTGTTCAACACACGTTCTACTCAGTTCCTCTTCTCGTTGTTCATCCTTACACTGCACTGGTTCATCTTCTGCTTCATCATCTTCCTCTACCTGCTCTGTCAGCTTCCATATGTCCGTCGAGATCCATTCCTTGTCTTGCTTCTTCTTCCTTCCTAACACGGTTATCCAGGTTTCTTTCCACATCTCTTTCAAAGACTTCCAGTGTTCGTGTTTCATCTTATTTGGGACTTATCAGCCGGATGTACTCGTACCTTAGTGATTGAGGTTGTACCCACTGAGACCCGAACCCAGTACCCATCGCTACTGGGGAGCGAAAGCCACCACTTGTGCAACGGGTATCATTTGTTGCTTGATACTTTTAATTTCCCGTTGCTGTACTGAGGTCAAGCAATTAGGCTCTGTGAGTTATCAGTGAGAGTCACAAAGATGAATATAACATCATGAACACCTGGCAATATCGAGGCATCCTTATAGGAGCCCATCTGACAACATACGTCGAACAATTCGATCCTGTATAGCAACGGGAAATTTTCACCTTGCTGTTTCTCAATCTAATAAACAAAAAGAATAAAAAATATCACGTTAGGGGGAAATGAACTTTCAGTGAGCACAGATATACCTTACTTCCATTCCACGGATACTTAGCTTGGATTACAGATTCCTGTACCGGCTATATGAACTGCCACCACCAAAATTATTCGCTTTTTTGTTCAATCTCCATTCTAGACTGCACGCTAGTCCGAAACCAGCTGATATTAATGCCCTTAATACTGTTATTATTAACATTATTCATATGCAATAATCATTTCTTTAAAGAATATCGTTCTGGGAGCAACTTTTTGTAATATATGCTGACAATTTAATTATGTGTCATACATATTGTTTGGAATAAAGAAGCCACCATTATTACTGTCATTATTATTACCATTATAAACTGGCGGACTTTATAACGTATACTATAACCCAGTCATTCAAGTTCTATGCGCTATAGCTTGAAAATGTACAAAAAAATAGCTGCGATGATCTATTTTCATTTTTACGCAGCATCTATCTACATGTTTGCTACGTGGAACTATGGTTCATTAGTCCAGGCCCTCAAACTTAGTCTGTTTATCAGAAATGTCACACAGTGAAACAGTATCATTTGCTTGACAACGTTTCGGACACAATTTATTGTCCTATATATATATTAAAAATTCCCATTTTCAAAATTAGAAGACATAAAAGTGAACAAAATTGTTTTCAGTTAGCTCTCATCAGGCTTTACGCTAATATACATAATTTTTCTCAAATATAAAACATTAAACCAATCATGGTGGATTATTCAATGCTTTATATATGAGGAAATTTATGTATATTGGCGTAAAGCCTGATGAGAGCTAACTGAAAACAATATTGTTCGCTTTTATGTCTTATATATATATATACTGGGAATCACAAGTGCAGCATAAACAATAAAAGGCTGGTTTAAGAAAAGCACTTGTTCTGCTGTATTTCCAGTTCAACAAAACAATTCAGTTTTTCGGAACCCTTTGAATGATTTTAGTCACAAAAAAGTGATACCGAACAAAACAGAATATTTGTGAATCCAAAGTAAGAATTAATGTCCATCTTCCAGTTGACAATTCTGATTTCCAGGCCGATAAACGAGCTTATTTTCTGGTCAGTGGAGAAAAATATTATACAACGACCTCAGGATGAATTCATAACAACTCCACTCAAGGTCTGATACGTGCCAGATTTTCTATGAACGTTCTTAATCACTAGATGCCAGTTCCTTGGGATTACATGTGTTTCTCATTATTTGTCAAATGCTTCTGTCACTCATGACCCCCGCACCTTTGGCGCTGGTCTTGTTTCCGCTTTTACGTGTGCTGTCAATTATTCAGGTTTCAGGGAGAGCGTACTGATATGTCCACATTTAATGAATTTTGTTCAGAATAAAAGTAATTAAGTGATGAACAGTTACTTACACGCTTGGGCCTTCACAAACCCATGTCACACAATCCTAAAATATAATAAACGAACAGATGCTTGACAAAAAAATGAAAAGATGTTCCAGAAAATTACAAGGTTAAGTAACAAAACGCATACCTAGTCAGCGTGCTTTGTCACGCAATGTTAGCTGAAATAAGTTTCGGCTTGAAAAAGACTAAAGGTAGCTAGTCTTAAAACAGTATCATTGCATGAAGTCTTGGAATATTGTTCTGAGACGTGGAGGATAATCCAGACTACTCGGTTGGAATTCACATGATAACCGAAACTGGTGGTTGAAGACATTAGGTGATATGGATCAGAATCTATCTTAATAGCACAGATGTATCTAAATATTATCGTCACTCTAACTGTCATACTGAAAGCTACAGTAATCTTTTTATTACGCCTTGAAGAATAGTTGACAATCCAAGGATCTTCCAAAGAACAGAAGCTGAACTCTTTTCACCTGCCATTATCAGATGAATTATTCTCCAAAGAAACTGCGACGACATCAAGTAATTTTGAACATACTGGATGTGAAATATTATGGGTGCTGTGTGATGATCGAAGGTGAAATAACCATGGTCTAATCCCAGCTGCCATGTGAATCCATGACACATAACTGAGGCAACGAGTTTGATGACGATGAATGGATATTAAAGTATCGTGGATTCACACGGCAGTCAGGCAAAATCCTTGATGACTGAAATGAAGCTAAGCTGTGGTAAGCAGCTGAGTTTCGTAGATCACTTAGTAGAGCACTGGGTCGGTAACATGTAGGCTGCTAGTTTGAATTCCATCACAACATAGATTTTCATCTCGTCTTTAATCCTTAGTCCATCAAACCACAGCTATGTCTGATGATCTCAAAGATCAATAGCATGGAAACTGCCTTTGATATAACTCAACAACAGAATCTACCAAAAATAAGTTTGTAATGTGAACAGGGTTTCTGCGAAGTGGCGATTCAGTATACTACAAGGAAGGTAGGTCCTGTTTTGCAGATAGGACTTGAAAGATTTCACCGCTTTTTATCCTGGATTGAGATAAGATGTTTATCGTCAAAGACTATAGTATCTCTCTTTTCTAGGAATATTGGGTCAGGTGTTTAGTTTTGAAAAAGACACCTCAACATTTGTATAGGCTTTTTACTGATGGACAAGGTAGTTGAGGAACCATTGACCTCCCGAAAACCAAAATTTGATAAAAATAGAATATGACTAGTCTTGAAAGGTTATCACTTACACAATGCGGTTTCATGTCAGTAATACTCTATAGGCATCACAAGAATTACAGATTACCAGAACTTTTGCATAGAGCAGTTGTTCCTATTAATAACAATCCGCACTTTCACAACTCACACCACCACCAGTCTATTAAAAACATGTTAATGATACTAGCCTGTGCAGAAACAACCTGAATCTCTTAAAAATTCCTTCAACTGCATAGTGAAACGTTCACCATCTGTTTTCACTCGATAAACATACCTTAATATTCGAAATTGGAGCACCCGAAACCCTATTTGAAAGTTCTCTTTTTTCAAAACCAAGGATACTTATCCAAAATAAGGATGTGAATGCAACCTAAAAATACTCTAAGATTCATCTGCCTAACACCTGGCAGTCATGTGCTGCTGATATGAACGAGACGTTAGTAATTACTTTTATTTTTAGCTCACTATGAAAAACCAAACGATATTAAACGTGATGTAAAGTGGCAAATATACATAAGTGATTATGGTGGCCGACAAATATGACGGTAAGATAAGGATGCTAAAAACACACACGGTACGTTGAGAGTACTGTTGTAATTCGTGCTCCACGAACAAATTACGGCAACTATCTCCAGTAATTCTGCCTCAACAACCGCCCGTTCCCGGTGAATACCAAATTTAGGTATAACGAAATATACAAACTTGAAAGCTACTGATATCAACACAACGGTAGGCGAAGAAAAATTGTATGTCTACTAGCCACCGTTGAAGATAGGTGAAGTCATCGTTAACCATAGCAATTTCGACCAGATACCACATTATAGTGGAAGAAAAAAACAGATCTTTGTGTGGTAAGTTGCATGCACTGATGGAAAATGTTTACTCGCTAAATTGTAATGTGAAAACAAAATGCTCCAGTTTATATCTAAAAAGAAACTGCTCAACAAACTTTTTCCTCTTTGAATAAAGACAACACAACTATAAAAATGCTTTATCTAGCTAACTTAGTGATACAAAATGGGATTCTAATAATGATAGTTATGTGTGAACTATGCGCTATCAATTGAATGCAGATATATATCTACTTTAAGAAAACAGTCACTCATTCATAAATTCTTCTATCCACACCTAAAACGAAGTACGCTACACAGTTAGGTCTTCGAAGACTTGCTAGCAATGTATTCGAGGAAGATGAGAAGTAAAATAAAAAAATGCAGGTTCCACAAGCTTTGCACTGACCACAAGCAGTAATGGGTAATGAGTGAAATATTAAAAAGCACCTACAATAGTCAATAGTTATAAAAACAGAATCCACTTGCTGATTCGGTCACATGGTTTGACTTATAACTTCAAACATACTTCCGTACTGTCACATGCGTAAAAAATGTTAGGCATCCAACTGTTTAGATGTCACCAGTGCCCGATAACAGATTCTCACACCGATAATTCACCGATTGAACGCAAGATAAGGTGAACTATGAACAACCCGCTGGTATAACTTTTCAAAACTGGCAGTTGCTCATCACAAGCCCACAAAACAATAAATTACATATACAGAAATCAACGTGGAAACTGCGCTCGATTGAACCAGTTAAAGTTCCTACACTTCACAACAGCATACAAACAAAAGGTGAATAAAAAATGAATGGCATAAAAATATGGAAAAATATATAAGGAGAGAGAATAAAAGGATGAAGGTAAAGGGTGTAAGCATCCGCGCCATTGTGACCGATCTTGAACCTCATAACTAATTCTCTAGCCGTTGCTACCTAACAAATCAGACACTCCAACCAAGCAGCCTGCATCTCCTCACATGGCTCAGACCATCAACCACAAACTACATAGAAAAGTGTCACTTCTTGGTCTGGCTTTTCTTAAACTTATTCCAATTTAATCCTACTTCGATTAGTGTCACACGTTGACTTAGGTGGTGGCTCAACCTTCGCCACACATATTTAAACCATCTCAGTCGGTGAATATTTAGAGCTTTATTGATTACCCTGACTTTCTTGTTTGCTCTGAGCACAATCTAAAAACTGCTTATAATGCAATGATTCACATATGCATAGTGAGAGTATCCGGTGGGTTGACACATGCGTTAGTGTTACCGAGATATTGCACACAGCGACAAATCCGGCTGGTAGTTGCTACCTTGATATGGTGGTTGGGTTTGCATATCACAATGACCCAACGAGCTAAACTGGCTGGAAAGCTTGTTCCGTCGAAATCCTTCCATGCCAGAAAGGTCTGCTGGACAGCAGTAAAAGGAAAAGCAGTCACCGTTATAGTGTAGATTACTAGACAATGATGGAGGTGTGAGGGTGAGATCGAACTGTGGGCTGGATTGAGGTGTGACAGTAGTAAGATGTTACCATAGGATGACTAGCAGTCCCAGGCTGATACTGACTTCCCAATGGGAGGAAGGAGTTAGGAAAGGTTAGCCTCAAAAATAAAACACTCAACCCTGCTCCACGGTCTTCCGGTGACAACAGTTTGGGTTCTTTCTGAACAACTAAATCTCAAAACAAAACCCGAAAAATGCTATATGACAAGCATATGTCCAACAGGCTCGATTGTCACACAAATCTTTTTCCCTTCAGGAAACTTCAGAAGTACCCTTCCATTCTGTGGACACCCGGGATGTGCCAACCGCCCACACGCGGACAGTAGTTCACAAGACCCTATCAAATATAACCTATTCTCCTCAACTCTATCTCCTCCTTCGCCCTCACCTCCTCATACTAATATTAGGCCTTTGGCGCCTTACCAAACCTCTTATTCTGCAACCATTGTCAACGACCAAACCCATCGAAACCTCATTCCTAGTCACCTAAGACCCCCGCCATCGACTTCATTTAGGAGCCTTCAACGTCCGAACTCGGTGCCAAATTAGGAAACTATGATGGTCCGTCCGGAGTCTGAGAAAGTTCTAAGAGGTTTACTATCAGTTCAGGAGATGAAAGCAAAATGGGACACAGGTAAGGAGGACAGGTTGTGTTTGATTGGATCTTGTATGATACCGGAAGCGTGCGGGTGGTTGGCCCTTTTCTACTGCCCCCACACGGTGGAACCTGTACCTGCATGGTACCTAGAAGAGAAAGAGGAAAAGACTTGCGTAAATACAAAGCCCTTGAGATAGTTGCTTGAGGCCTGTTACACAGCCATTTGAGGAATGATTTGAGATTAGAATGTGTTAACCTCGAATAGAAAACATCTGCACCGCATCACGAGAGGATCTAAGGGCAGGGAAGGATGCTGTTGTTGGAGTACATATTTTCTAACCCGTCACCATTCCATAGGGAAGACAGAATTAGCATAATAGTGCTGACTATCCATGGGAAACACCTTGCTGCTGTCAAACACCATCCAGCCAGAAGTACGACTTCAACAAAGAACGCACATCTCAGTGTGGAAATTCACACCGTAACACTAACTGCTTTTCATCTTACCACTATTCGAAATACCTTTCTGACAAGGTAGGACCTCAAGCAACAATCGTCCCAGCCAGTGTCGTTAATTCAGTCAGGTAACACACGCTCGACCACTACGTCAAGGTAGCAGCCAACGGTCGAGAATTCACGTCATTTTGTGGACTTTCAGAAAGTAGTACCCATATTACCCAGGGTAAAAAAAGCTAAAACCATGTGTTTAACAGGTGACATGAATTCTCAGTCAATAGTAATGAGTAAAAGTAAAAGCAGCATACATTAATAGATTTTAAACTTTAGTAGAAAATTCGTCCTTCGTAAAGTGAAATTCGTTGACACATACAGTAGAGAATATCCTGAAAAAGACAGTGCTTCCCACCGAAGAAAATCTTAAATTTAAACTGAATTGTTAGAAATTTCAAAACATCCCTATAAAGACCTCCGGGTAAACCGCTTGGACTTTGCAGTCAAGGAAAACTGAATACCACCTTTTCCTCAAAGCTGCAGAGAACGATGTTTTTGTAAACATGCTTGATTTAAGTTGATGATTCATACTATTTATGTCTTCGTTGCAAGATATATGTAATAAATACCAAGTAATGTAACTCAAACCCGTACAATTTCTATCTATTAGGCTATCACACTACGTGGGGGTTTATGATGACATCCGGTTACCATAGCCAAAATAGGTTGAGCTGAGTTTGAACCCTCGATCCATTTGTGGAAAGTCAAAACACAGAGGCATGCAACCATAATTTCTTATTTTATTTAGTAGCGAAATTAGTACTAACTCAGAAACTGCGTATACTATGATACGCACACATACTACCCTGCTATCCCTGTATTGATAGACAGTGGATTTACATAATTGACTTACTGGTTACAACTCCAATTTATAAACCGATAACCAATAGCTGTACAAGATACTTCATAATTACACTTGGAGGAATTACATTAGCACTCCGGGGATTCGCATTTATGCACTCTATCGAAAGAGAAGTTTAATAACAAAAGCATGTAATATTTGAGATCCGTTCATACACCTTATACACATTTGGCATATTCTTGAGCTGATGAATTTTAAGCTTGCTTCAGAATTACACTTCTTCAATATCAGAAGAATAAAATGTCGCTAAACTACTTCCATGCTCAGTACTGAAGAAAGGCATTTGAGTTCGAGTAAAATGTGTAGAAGCCTACTGAAAGAAATTACATTTTATATAATCATCACCAAAAACCAGCTCACTCACCACTTATTGGGCCAACGAATGACCACTGGCTGAACCGGTACACCTGCGTTAAAAGCACCTATGGAATGCGGAAAAATTGAAAATATCACCAACTTAGAATCACCTAGAATGGAATGAATTGCGCAATACTCAAAACATACAAAGCATATCAGTATTACTTCGAAAAAAAATAATACTTGCTTTCCAAAAAGGAAATTTAGTGTAGCAAAAATAAGGTACATGATTAGTAGGCTACAGTGATCCATCTGTCTAATGAAAGGTTTTCGTGGTGCAAAACCACTTGTATAGTGTCATGACAAACCGAATTCTCCACAGAGCTACAACGCTACCTCACCACCTCTCACACCAAAATTTACGACCTACACAAATTTGTATTCTATCCGCCATTATAAAACAGATAGTTGACACTGTCCGTACTAATAACGGTGATGCACTTTTATGAGGTTCTACAATGCTGAATCTGTCTATCTGGAGATAAAAATGTAATGCGGTCAGTTCTGGAATTCATTGTTGACTACTCTCTTAGTTACAGAATGCCATCTTTAGCCTGAAGCTCCTGACAACTTAACGATCAAAATACCTTTGGGTAGTTACACCTACTCTTGACGAAAATCGGTCTGTGTGGCGTAAACCAAAGTACAAACACAGGGTTATTAGACATTAGTTTGCTCGCAGCACTAGTTTTAGGAAATTATTTTACCTGAGCGTCTTTAGATTTTTATTGCCATCGTTTTGGAAAGTGCCCTAGGACCTTACAAAGGTATCAAGACAAAATCCCCACCTTTTGGAGTGGAACACACGTTATCCAGATACGAATATGAATTGTTTTTGATAACGTAAACAACAGCAAGCGGACAAATATAGCCATAAAGAGTTCTAATATCCTTACAGAAATTAACCCTCATACCAGACTTTTGAGTGCAGAGTTATTTCCGCTAAGCTGACGAAAACTGCTATTCCAACCTCAATCAAGTTGGTTGGTTACGTTAATGATGTAGTAAAGAGTAGGGCAACCTTTTATACGTTACTGAGAAGTCACTAGCTGTTTAGTGACCTTTGCTCTCACTTTCGACTATATGTCCTTTCTTAGTTGTATGGCTGTTTATATAGCTGTATGAGAGTTGTTTTTGGTAAATGATGATACACAAAATAAGTCAAAACTGTCAACCTGTAAGTAATTTTGACCACCAATTAGTTTGTTTTCCGAATCAAACCAAGTACAATCAGTTAGCTAATAATTTTGTTTTCATGAGTGCATATCTCTCAGTTGTCACACAAGGCCTTATCAATATTCACACATCAAATCGACCAGCATTCTATTGCAATTTGCATCTAATCTAGTGACTAATACTTAATAAGACTGAAAAGCCAATGATAGACCAGTTATGAAATTATGTGGTCATAAATAATCACTTTCAGTATATTGCTACGTTATTAAAATCCACAAGGGTCAAGACAGCAACATTATCTTCTGGGAGCATATAATGGCATATATCAGAACCACGGTAAAATAGGGAGCTGATGCGCATGTGCAAGCGTCAGAATTTCAAAATTATCACTTATTGTTCACCATTTGGGGGCTTGTGTTAAAGAATCTAACATAGAGAATAAATTGGAGATATCCTGTATTATATATTGGCAGTTTCTGGGCTTCTGACGGAAAATTACATCTAACATTAAGGTAAGTGATGGTCTGTCATGCATGCTACCGCATAAAACCTAGGCGATCCAGAAGCAATCCAAAGAGAAGGTATACACGTCTGAGGAACACGTCTAGGAGTTGACAACTCTTACTACGTGGCTGCATTCGTAATCAAGTACCCACAACCTTCTCAATTTCTAGCTTTACGAAGAAACGAAATTGATTGTCTGCTTATCGTGTAGGTGGTATGGATACGAGAAAGCCAGAAATAAACAGCCTAAAGGAGCATATTTCGTAATAATAGATTAAAACTACTGACATTTCCATAAGTCAGGCTGTTAGACCTACCAAAATTAAAAACATGAATCACAAATAAGCATTGTCGTCCGCACTATATTACTTATCCTTTGGGGTTTCCTTATCTGGTACCATTTTTGAATGATTAACTTAACAACCTTTGACTGATCCCTAACTCACTTCTCTAACTTATGGCTCTGAAAAAAAGTATGTTGAGCGAATTAAACTATTGCACATCTAATTTTCCGCGCATAAAATCGGTAGTTGCATTTCACTGAATGATGGTACGTTGTGGACAGAAAACTCACTTGTATATGACCAAGGTTTCCCAGGTGTGAGGAATATACGCAAATGATTTTGTGTTTGATTGTACGAGGTCAGGAAAGTTAAATCGAGTGACTCATTGTGTAGATGGATTGTACACATTAGACACTGCAATTCAATATCAGCATTAGAAGACAATCGGCAAAAACTACTCGGGTCATACAACTACTAGACGGAGAAATGACAAAAGTGAAGTGTAGAGAACAGCAATAAAATTACATACATTGCCACCCAACTTATCATCAATGCAAACAATGACGTCCAGATGAAAAAACTCACCGGACTTGAATGTCGCAATGCAGCTTCGATTAGTACATGTGCCCTCTGGAAAAATGACAATTTGAGGCCAATCTTCTTTTGACTTAGCGCGACGATTAAGTTCTTGAATGGCTTTCTTCCTTGAGTCAGGATCCTCTCGATTTACCAGGATCGGTTGCAGCACCTTGAAAAATCCACGGACAAAAGATTCAGCTGACTCCGTCTTCCCCACGACTGAAGGCATACCAAGTGCTACAACAACAAGCGAATCAAAGAATGAGGAGTGCGGTGCGACAACCAGAATGGGCGCCTCCTTACGTGTTGCGCGTGTCCCTTTAAATTTAATCCAGTGAAAACCACCAAGGAAAAAGACACAACGGGCAAATATAACTACGATCGGTAGGAGTAACCACCTGAAAATACCATTTGTATTCATCATTTCCATACCTTCTAAATCGCACACTGGTTTGATTTGAGACTTCACATCGTAACCTATCGTGAACAGGTTTGATAGTAAAAGCGTTAGGAGAAAAAAAAACCCAACTGCTAGTGCACGGAAAGGAAGTATAATAACGGTAAATAAGTACATCTTGATCAAAAATAAAAGTGAATGGCATGTTGTACCTTAAAATACTGTAACCTAGAGATTTCACACTGATACGTAAATGGAGTTAGAATGTGTTCACCAAGTTCTGTTTCATTTTTGGTGCTCAAAGGCCTTTTCTGGGAGACTTTCCCGAAAGTATTATCCTCCCAACGATCAGTTGTACTCATTGGTGCAAAATGTCTCAATGCCTCAGACCGAACTACCGCTCAGAAGGGGAGCCCGACTCAGTAGTTAATTTAAACAATAATCGAGGCGATTTTTTTTTTGAAATCAACGATAACCTACATGTCATGATTACGAAGAGATTCTTGGAAATTATCAGTTTTTTGAATGCACTTACTCTTTCACGATATAAAACTGGGAAGAAGAATGATGCATAATCAGAACACAATGCTGAATTCCAAATTGTATCGATGACGAATTGTGGTTCAAAGTCATGTGGTTGATTTTCTTTCACCGCATATGACAACAATCACTGCAAGTCTTAAGTTCATGTCTTTATTTATTGATGCTTGGTTATTTCGTTGTTATACATCTTGCATAGGTTCAGATATCTTTTCTCTGCACTTATACAAGGGTTTGGAATTAATAATTCTCCCAATAATTGTTTTGGCTAATTTGTCGGTGGCTTGTTTGGGGGAATAATGATTAGCTCATAAGGTAAATGGATATTTGGTAGTTCCCGTATGCACAGGTACATGGAAGTACGAACCGATGTGTTTATTCTTAAAGAAGTGAGTATGCTTAGCCTTGGAGTTATGGGTATACACATGAAACTTTTAGAAAATACCAAAGAAAATTACATTATCTGTAGTAATACTTAGAAAGTATGGCGAATCATGTTGATGGTGCATTGAAGCCTCAGAGAAATAGATAAGCAAATGGCCACCTACTACTAGCCTGTATTTTTGATTAACCTCACTGGTCTGCGTAGTCAAACCACGTCAACTGAAGGAGCCATCGCTACTTCTTACATCGTGGCGTGCCATAATGAGAATGCTTTGAGACAGAATGAGTTTGATCTGATCTGATAGCAGTTCCAAATAGTAACATAACCTTTCGCTTAGACCTCTGGTCGGATACAGGATCGGAAACCCTATAGGATTGTCAGCCTTATGAGGCAGATATTGGCCTGTTTTGGATGATCCATTTGAAGCATTGGCCTAAGAGATGCCACCAGGTCACCTCATTTCCAACGTTGCATCGAGACAAACAAATAGGGCTGTCGTGCGCACTTTGTTCCCTGTCACCTCCAACTTCAACTACTGTTATTATCAAACTTTTTATATCTCCTATACAATGTCAACAGCTAGCCACAGCCAAAAGGGCGCCTAGGAAATACACGGTGTAGACTGTACGGAATTTTGTATAAAATAGTATTTCCTTTTCATCACGCCTTACACATTTCGTACATTCTTCATAATACTTGTAAAAAATAATGTTGTTTGTCTGTACAATTTTTATGGTGGTATGGCTTTGCTTCTGCTCTAAAATACGTGGGAACATATTGTGCTTCCATCAACTCTGACTTCCTCCTAACTGCTGTCTGAAGTGAATACTCAATAGTTCCCTTTGGATTGTATAGCTTCAACCAGATTCCAGGTTTGGTAAGTCGTTTCAAAGAGTTTTGTAGTCCTCTTCCTTGCAAACCATCCCCCACACTTTGGCGTTGTCAATAAACAGGAGTGTTTTGATAACATTATTAGAAGAAGATCATCTGAAAACTGGTGTATTTGCTGAATATATTTCGAACAGTCTGACCGCACATCAACCATCAAGTCAATTTATTATGTGGATATTAAGAAACTCAAGTTCAAACATGATGAATAAGAAGAGGTTGTGATGTTAGTCTTGGTAATATCATCAGGTTACCAAGGACTACCTGAAACAAGAGTTACATGAAACAACAAATTGTTCCTGTACACCCAGTGAGGACCTAAGTTCACGAATCGCCAGCGCTTCAGCAAATTTCATTATGCACCCCCGGGCTCTTCCTATATAGTACCCCAGTTCCTGTTTCCGCACAAAGATTACGATTCATTTCGATGATATATTTTGCTGTAGATAGAGATGGGTGTCTGTCACTTGCACTTACCAAAGTTTGTGTGTTAAACTGTTTTTCAGGCTATTCAGGTATACGTTCAACCACTGTGTTCTGCATGGCACCACTGCACCCCCAATTTGTGTGCCCACACATAAATGTGAATTGGTAAATACAGTGGGATGCGACAGAATCATTCATGCAAGGCTGAGGTCTGTGCCTAAGCGTTTGTTGCGGAAGCGTTAGTCATTCATGAACTTAGGTCCTCATTGAGTGTACAGGAACAATTTGTTGTTTCATGTAACTCTTGTTTCAGGTAGTCCTTGGTAACCTGATGATATTACCAAGACTAACATCACAACCTCTTCTTATTCATCATGTTTGAACTTGAGTTTCTTAATTTTCACATATAAATTGATGGTTGATGTGCGGTCAGACTGTTCGAAATATATTCAGCAAATACACCAATTTTCAGATAATCCCCGTCTTCTAATTGTGTTATCGAAATTTATTAAACTGACTAGTTGTTTCAAAAGACAGAAGTGTGTTTGATGAGATCTTCATAGAGGCATTTTGTTGATAGATAACTGTTCAGTTATCTTTAAACTGCTCCCCGAGATACGTCTGATTTTGAATCATTTTCGGCAGATGAGGTTCCCTTTGTCTTAAGATGCGCCTCAAACATAAAAATGAGAGGTTCTGTAACGTCAAACGTAGGAAGTCAGGCCAGCATAGTGTTGTATAATTCCCTCAGGGGTTTTGATTAGGTTGAGGACGACAAAGAGTCTTTAACTGGCACCTCAGCTATCAGTCCGTTCTTCAACATTCGTCATCGCATTTCAAGCATTTAACCGAGCAAATCTGAAGCAGTGCTGGATAGAACCGATGATTTCAGCCTTGTTCAGGAAGTTTCAGATATCTGCGTTTCACAGTCTTATAAAATATAAATGAAACGTTACTGGCATGTAGTTGATTGGGTTTTTTAGCCTTCACCTTTGGAGAGTGGCGAAGAAATGGTGTGCTTCCATTCTTTGAACGTCTGAAATACTAAATAAGACTGATTTGACATTCATCGAACAGACGGTTTAGACTTTCGGGATGAATCAGCAGTGCCACGCCTCTAACGTGGTGAAACAACCTGGCCGAAATGGTAAATGTTTTGAATAACAATTGATAAAGTGACACATCGACGTTACTCAGCTCAACATCACTGAGGACTGGGCAAAAACTAATTTGTGAACCGTAAGGTCAAAACTGACAATTACCTCTATATCTCCACTCACGCTTAATATTTTCCGTAATATTTGTAACAAAATATTTACTCTTTCGGTGCGGCCGAAATTCACTATCAATACAATTTGTGTTCTCAATCGAGTGGAAACGTACTACGTTTTGCACTTCACCTATTCTGACTTCTGTTGTTCCTGCCTGCAAGTCTTCCTGTTAGTTTTCTTTTCTGGAACCCCATGGGAAACTCATTTGTTTGCCAAGCATGTAACGAGCCCAGTCGGTAGCCATATTAATCAACATTCGTGGTCTCCTCTCTTTCACCTTGTAATCGTTTTACAGAGACCAAATTCGCGCTTTCTGGGCCGAAGAAACCGTTTAAGGCAAACGTTTGCTCTATACCTTGCTGTGTTCGGTGAATTTCCGATCATTTTTTCATTTTCGGCTGTATATGTTTGTGTTGGTGCTCATACATGATGGATACTTAACACTTTTAATGATAGGAACGATAACATATTTTCATCCAGTACAAGCTACATGAAGACAAACCAGTCTACGGGTAGGGTCACTTTGTCAACGTGAGTTCGTCGCTATGTACTATGAGATACAACACATAAAATATCGCTATTTAAGGCACATGAGAGACGCGTTTAAAGGAAAAACACCAATGTTTTGCAGGCAGCAAAGAATAAAGTAGCCAGGCACTAACAGCGTTTTCCAGTAGATTAAAGCAAGTGCAGCTCGAAACTAGGAGTTATTCAGCCATTATTTGAGTCATCGAATATTCTTGATGGTAGAGTGGGTGGTGCTGCTGTGACCCAAGATTTCGTGCGTTCCTCGTGAATTCGTGATGACATGGTGTGCGCTGACAATTGTGATTGCTAGGATCCCGCAAGAACAACAGACTGATCGGTCAGGCATGAAATGAACAAAAAGGGGAGCATCAGGCCAACCCCAAAACAGAAGCACAAAAATGCTACACTGAAGTATATCAGTCTAGATATATAGAGGTGAGTTAATTGTCCTGGCTACAAAAGTTACCTGATAAAGTATCCTAAACCAACTGTTCACAGATCAGATTACATGGAAGATGTAGGTGCATATGCAAGAAGTGGAAACGAAGCTGAAGACGAAGACGTCTCCGCAGTTGGGAGGATTCTCTAACACGCCGCTGACTGATGCACAAGAGTTAAACCAATTTATAAGCATTTTGTATCAATACCTCTGGGGCACTGTAAACGGCTCCTAGGATGTTTGCATTTCACATTGTATATGCGGTTAAGTCCAAGTATTCTTCTCAAGTAATTTTCTCATATCCATCACAAATCGAACATTTTTTTCGGCCATGAATATGAGTGCCCTAATCGTTGCGCTAAACGTCTCGCTTTACTTACTCCTACGTTTACTAAACATCACAACGTTAGGTGATTAAGTGCTGACTTTGAAATACCTTGCGGCTGCTTACTGTTATTTCTTATTTGACCGCCTGATACTACGAATGGTTACGATAAAAAACCTACACCATCAGTAATATACTTATATTGCGCATTCACCTCCATCTTAGGGACTCAGGCCCAAGGATATTAACTGGCAAATGTGGCGGCATTTACTTCTTAGATGAACCCGCATAAATATACTGCACACTGAGTAATTCCATTCTATTTCGCTTGTCAATATCGAAGTGTCAGTAACGCTCCATGTTACGGAAAATAATTCTAGCATGAACGCACACACTTTTACAA